CTGCCACTCTTCAGCTGGATCCCAAGCTACCATCCCACTGGACCACTAAGATCAGACCAGAACACGAAGCAAAAAGCTATCTTAAGCCTCGGATGTCCCCAGGCTGCCTTTGGTCAGGATCCCTTGAAACTGCATGTTCCATCTATCTGGAGTTTACTAGTAGTTCTTTGTGTGCAATTTAGTAAGATATGCTACATATGGCCCTATTTTGCTAAGGTTACACAGTTCCTTTAATGGGATAAAAGGATTATAATACAGCCTGATTCTTCTGCTTGTTATTCTGCAGCATGCCTAGCAGGGGGTCATTAAACACACAGGCACCCTGTTGGCATCGTCATGCGGCATGTGGGAAAAGGGGGTGATCCAGGCCTCTCTTCCGTGGGGTAGCCAGATAGCCCTGGGGCTGTGGAGCAGGATGGGAGCAACCATAAGACTGGAGCCTGTGGAGTGGACAAAGGGGCGGAAGTTCCCTCTTTGCTCGTTCCTGAGGCACATGCACAGGAGGCCACAAATTCGCTGCCATCACCAGCTCTGTGCAGTCACGGCCTCCAGATGAAGAACTCGCAGGGATCCATGGCAGGGTGAAGACTACAGCAGGCCGGAGGTCCGAGGTGGACCAGCGATGCTGCAGGTGGATGCCCAGACGCCAGCCTGCCACTGGACTACAAGGCTGGCCCACACAGTAACGCACTGCCATTTCCAGCGTGATCCCTTGGGGTGGGGCAGCTGCCCCTTTGTCAGGCAGGGGGGCATCATTCCTCCTGATCCTCCCTGTATGGGCAGGGGTCCGTTCAACCTGACTCCAACTGAGGATTTGCTGGAAGGGGAGGCCAGATGGGGAAAAAGTTGCATCCGAGAAGGTGGAGACGGGCATCCCTTGCCCTTGTGAGAAATCGGATAGTTGATTTTGTAAATTACTAACAGTAGATGCTATGACAGATTCAGTCAGTATTTAGATTAAAATCCTCTTACATAAACATCCCGCAGGTGTTCTTATAAAACACTTTGACAATGTTCTAAATGAGCTGATAAAGCACACTGGCACGAAGCCTAATTATATAGCTAATTAGTATCTTAATTCAGATACAATCAGATATATCACCTAAAACTTTTAGTGGAATTTGCTGAAGGTCAGAAAAAATATTAATGGGATTTCTACATAGCATTGTTTTGAGGATGAGACAGCATCCTTTCCTCTAAACGGTACGACAGATAGGCCCACAAACAGCAGAAAAGGGCCAGAGACTAAAAGGGAGAAGAAACAGGCTTTCTGCAGAAGAAGATGGAGGAGGAGGAGGAGGGCATGCAAAAAAAAAAACACCAGCCTGTAAGGAAAAGAGCATCTCCCAAAGGAGGGCAATGTGCCCCAGGCACCCCACCCCAACTCTACAACCGAAAACTCTTGAGAGCGTGAACTGGGACTGAAGTGTAGAGTATCTCAGGTGGTGATGGAAAGAGGCCACGGTTCCCCCAAATCCTCATCTTCTGACCAAGTCCAGGATGCTAAACTGCAAGCAAGAACAGGACGTGAGAACGCACATTGTGCTTCAAGCTCACACTGCAGGGGGGAGGGAGAGGAGGAGCAGTGCCGTCGCTTACTAGAGAGCAGTGAATACTTAAACAGCAGTCCTTGTACACATTATACCAGAAAGGGCCAAGCTGCTGCTTCTTATTAAATTGTGCCTATACCCTGCCGTTTTCCCTCTTGCAAGGAACCTAGTTCTCCTCCACTCCAGTTTTATCCCCACACCTTTGCCCATCTCCAGGTGCAGCAGAGAGTCTGAGACTGGCTCGACATCACCCAGTGAGCTTCATGGCGGAGTGGGGATGAGAAGCCAAATGTCCTACCACTGCACCGCACTGGCTTAGGTCAGCGATTCCCAAACAGCAAGCTATGTAAGCATAGGTGCTAGAAATATATAAGAGTAATGGATTCTTCTAGACCCAGTATCCTCACAAAAGAGTCCACCAGCTGCATAATTCATTACTCTGGCGGGGCCTGCTTGTAATCGCCCTCCTCTGGGTGGTGATTATAGTCTTTGGGGCCTATAGGTCAGGTCTGAGTAGATTCCTCTCAATCTACTCAGATTCAGAACTGTTGCCGGCTTATCCACAGACAAGATTGCCTGTTGCATCTCTGTGTGAATCAATATTCTGAACTTGCCTCTTTTCAAATCAGAAGGCAGGCAGGCCTCAAGTCAGTGATTTCTGCAGGGTGTGAATTCCTTTTCAGGTGGCTGGTTTTGATACATCTGTCAAGAAGTGAAGTGTGCCTCAAATTTCAATTCAGAAAAAAGGATGCCTCTGCTATCAAAAATCTGGGGAATGCTGGCCTATGTCATAGCTGTATTAGTTTATGTACAGTATATAAGCTACACGATGGATCAGGATGAGCACACAGTCACACAATACAGAATACAACTCACAAACTATTATTTTCATAGCTTCTGAAGGTACAGAAAATTCCATTTATGACCCTGCACACTGGAGACAGAAGATGGAAGTCCCTTATTCTGTACTCAGTAAATCACACATAGATGAAGGGATACTATTTCCATGTATATCCAGTGCGACTCTCTGCAGAAACTTTTGCTAGCTTTGCCAGCGACCTAACGTTTGACCTTGGAACAAACCGGTCACAATGCCTCAGTCAGCTGATCGGCAAAGCCCCAGTATCACCTACCCACTGACAGGGGCCCTCGATATGGCTTTGCATCCTCTGATGACATGTGTGGTAATAACTTGAAGCATTATTTTAACTGATTGGATAGTTAATTAGATGTGCACATATAACTGATTTATTGACATGATGGGACTGAAATTTAATAAAGTAAACTATTAATGTCAAGGATAAGTCAATTTAGAACCTGCACCATCATCCTCATTATAGGATGAGACATCAGTTGGAACTGTAGTAACAAAGCTAAAGTGGAATTAGAGGAGACAGAAAAGGGCACACCTTGAGACGCCCCATCTGTCTCTTCCAACACAGCTGGGCCACTAACTCCAAACATACCTGGCTGGGGTGAAGAGCAGGAACAGAGGCCTCGGTTGTCGGGACCATGCCCCATTTCCCCCAGGTTCTTCAACAATGGAAATTTTGAATATGCTGAAGTAACTACATAATATACTTTACCTAATGGCGAACTGCAGGGGCAAGTGTCTAACAGCATAAATGCAACTGAAGCCTGCCCGAAAATAAAACAGTGTCTTCAAACAGTCCTTACCTAGAGGACTCCCTAAACATAAGTTTAGTGCATTTGTAAGACAGAAGTGAGTGTTAACATTCTCTCACCCACCTCTAACTAACCCTGCCAGCCAACCATGGAATTCTAGGATGTATGAAATCTTGGGGTACCAGCTGAGAAGAAGCAAAGGAAGCTGGAGGGGTGGTGCCGAGAGAAAACGGGATTTGGAAGGGAGTAAACTTAGCACTGTTGCGCTAAGGAGAGCAAAACGAATGAACGAATGTTAACTTTTGGGTGAACATTTGGAGGCTGGAACCTTGCTCTCTTTGTGGCGGAGTGCTGACCGGATGGCCACCGACTGTGGCTCCGGGCCAGCTCAGAAGGGACACCGCCCCTCTGCTGCTTCCAAGGCTTTCTCCTCTGGGCAGCCGGCGCCTACTTGGTTTGACCCTTCTGGCCTGGCCACGGCAGCACGTAGACCGTGGTGCCAGGTCATTGCTAACCAAGCACAAGGAGTGTCCATCCACTGGGGAGGGGTGTTGCATCGACACATTGGAGGCCATGCGCTCTGCCATCAGACGCACCACAAAGAAAGGAAAAGGAATCCAAGCCAATGAAAGGGGCAAAGGAACAACTGGAAACCAGAACAGAACAAGATGCAAAGGTCCTCAGCCAGCAACGTCTCACCCAAGTCTAGAAACAAGCTCCTCTGAGTAAACCACAGCGGCAGCTGAAGAGGCACCCATCGAAACATAGAAACAGAGCAAGTCAGAAGGGGTCTCCCGGGCCATCTAGTCTGACCCCCGGCTCCACTCATGACATGCCCAGGAAGGGCATGTGCAGCACAGCCATGGTGGGAAGGCTCTGCCTGCATTCCTCAGCCAGAGATCTTCTTTGAATCGAGGCTCTACACTGGCACAGGGTCCGTGTGTGTGATGCAAGAGACCATGAGTTAAAATCATGTAATGTTCAGACTTTGAAAATCTGCGTACCACGACCTGATCCCAACATGCACACCTTTTCTTAGATAAGCTTTCTCACCCTTCTGGGACATGCAATTCAGACAAGTCAAGATGTGCAACACCAGAAAACTCGTTCCATTCGAGCACAGCAGACTTTTCACAGATTTCTGACTTGAGAGTCCAAAACGAGCTGAGGTAGGGCAGGGCAGATGTATGGCTTCTGCAACATTACTCAAAATATTTGCACAGATTTGGAGTTGAGAACAGTGCCTCTCAGCGCCTATGCAGAATACCATTGGTGCAAATCATGCTAAATTAATACAATTTGTGTAAATTGTAGAGTGAAGCCCCAAATTTTAAGCAAATTTCTTTGGTTATTTTTTAAATGATACTAATAAGAACATAAGAAAAGTTATGCTGGATCAGACCAGTTTTCCATCTAGGCCAGTTCTCTGTTCTCACAGCCCATATTAAAAATGGAAGTCCGTGTGCTAGCTTGACGCATGCCAGATCAAGTCAATCGCAGCACAAGACTGACAGAACAGAGTTCACATGGAAAATGCAAGAAACCCATTGGATTTTCATCCCTCTACTGGATTTCTCACTCATCCCTACCAGCAAAGCTCTTGGAGAAAAAGGGAAAAAATGAAATGAAAAGTGTGCTACTATCATGCTGACTTTTTAAGTACTGAAGAATCTGGTTACCAAACCCCAGCTATGCAGTCCTACAGATTAAAAGAGCAATGCTTGCCTGATTCCATTCTCCTCTCCTGAATGTCAGTCAATTCATCAGTGTAGACCAGGTCATAACAATAGCCGCAGCACTGGGGAATTACGCACAGATTTTGAAAATGTATAAAGGGGAACGAACTGGATCAGTCGACTGCTCTAATCCAGACAGAAACCTTCACTTTACTCTAGGAAGGCTGAAAGTACAGACAAAAGAAATTTCATTTGCCTGCAATAGAGGTCTATTCAGCTTCCAATTTTACTAAGACCCATTATTAAGAGGCGCTTTTATTATATCTCCTTTTTAATTCCAAGCTCCTCAGTGCATCACGTCTTAAATTAAACACACATTAATGCATACAAATAAAGAAAGAGGAGGAAAATTAATTAAGGAGGCAAGTTTAATCCAGGTCAGAGTTATTGTTAGTTCATGCAGGAAAAAAATTCTGTAGAACAGGCAAATGCATTCTCTGCCCACCCCCACCCCCCAGCCACACAGTTTCTACAATCAAGTTAATTTAGGGAAAGGTTCTTTAATGCAGGTTTCTTCTACTAAGTCGAATTTGAGTAATTTCTAACTGAACAGAAATGTCCATTGCACAGAATACTGAGTGGATGTCTTGGATAGGGATTTATTATTTTTATTTTCCACCCCATCCCAACAGAACCTAAGCCAAATTTCAGATAAGCACCACGTTTATCTTAAGACAGATCAGACTGCAATACCACAGAGAAAATGAATGGTATGGTTCTCTATATTTGTACCATACCTGCTTATTCAGGAAAATGTATGAAAATGAAGTTTATTATAAGAAAAAATGCAGCATTGTATGAGCTGGCATGCCAAATTATGCAAACTTATCTCATTTGAGTTATGCATCTTAAATGGTGGAGCTATCCTACATCATGTTCTCCAATGATTTTGAATACTTAAGCTACAGTTGGCATCAACAGAAAGGATAACAGCTTATTACCATTTCTTAACCATGCCACAAGTGATGGATTAGTTATTCTCTTTTCAAAATTGCAGTAGCAGAGAAGGAAGGAGGAAGGATGGGACTTTGCGGACACCACATGCCAGTGAGGCGAGAGGGATGCAAGAGTTTTAAAGAGTTAAGATATTCCTCCTTTAGTTTGCTGGAAGCTTCTGCCATACCTCCAACAGCTTCTGATTCGGCAAAACCAGGATTTGCTTTCACGATTCAAAAAGAACTTCCACCAACGAAGGCTAGAAGTCTCACTTCTTTTAAATGGAAAACTTCAGGAATCTAGGCGGCTTGGACACTCTGTCCAAATTCAAAGAATGCGCTTCAGCCTTTTGCACATTCAGCACCGTCCGTCATACAAACTACTCTCATGTCCTTAAATAGCAACATGAGAAATAAGATCATTCTTGACAATCATGTGTTACTTTACAACCTGTTAAAACCGCAAGCACTTTCATCTATGAGAATTTTTCCAAGGAATACAGGGACTAAAATTATTTTTCTTCCAGTAACATTCCATTTTTGGGGGTGGGGGAAGGCTCCCTCCCTCCCTCCCTCCCTCCCTCCCTCTCGGTGCCACAACGGGTTGTGTTGGAATGCTAATACTGTAAAACAGAGAATAATACAGATTCTCTCCCAGAACGTCCACTCCTATATCAAGAGATAAACAAGGGAGCACGCCTGCTCGTGGGACAGCCCAGCAGGACACATGCCAAATAGAGCAGCACATGGAAGCTTTTGAGGGTGGATTATTTCTCAGCAATGCCCAGCAAAAATAGCTTGACAACATGAGATGATGCATGAAGGGAGCTCAGCATTTTTAGGAAGAAGAAAGAGTATAAACCCCCTGGTATGAGTATGCATTTAACATTGAACTGTAGTGCTCATGGCTTTTAACGGAGACAATTACTTCTCAATGAAAATGAATTTTAAAAAACACCATCAACTCTCCTTCCTTCAATTTCACCCAGAAAAGGTAGAACAGAATTGTGCTTGGTTCTGTGGTCAAACTTTGCCAGAGGTGTGCTGAAAATGGTTCTCTAAAAGTTGGTTTCTGAACTCAATAGAACCATATGACTGATAATGGCAGCAAATCCACACAGACTTGAAGAATGCTGACCTGGGAATTTTGCCATCCTAATTCTACTCCGTGTTAGCGAGAAACAATTTTCTGGAGAAGAAAGTCTAGGGAGTGTCACATGTGTATACGGAGGCAACAAATGGGAAATCTAACACAATTGGGGGAAAAGGGATTAAAAACGCATTCCAACCCCTGTGTTTTGCATAACCATATCATCTAAAGGGCTTTGCAGAAGAACTGAAGTGTCAAAGCACTGGAGTTTTGAGTCAGCAAGTGTGCCACTAATAAAAACAGCTTGACGGCTCACACTGATCTCAAGAGTGGGACTCCTGAGGGGGTAATAATGAGTAAAGAGCTGCGACAGTCAGCTGGGCACCTTCTCCAATTATTCATGTAAGAAATGTTATCCTCTGTGGGAATCTACAAGGCGATAGGAGTTGTACTCTTTTAATAAGCATTATATGCAAATACATGCAGGCACAATTTGCAATTCCTTTAGGAAACTGCGACATGAAAATTACTTGGCACATAACGTTATTCTCTTCCAGTAACATGCTTATGTTAGTAAATGACTGCATTTCTTGTCTTACACATTTCAAGCTAAACATATCTTTTGTCCAATTGATACTGTTTAGAAATGCAATTAAGAAGGGGGGGGGGTGAAGGAAAGCCCGTGAATAAATTGGCATTACCATGGAACAATAAAATTGATAGAGCACGCTCCTTTCATGAACAGATTGGATGGAAGAAACAGAATGTAATGCCAGTGCTGGAAACAGGGGAAAAGGATGTCAAAGCTACTGATTGAGAGGGTGTCATTTTCTGCATGAAAATCAGTGTGCCTTAAGAGTAGTTAACCTTCACTGGATCATATCTTTCATGTATACTAAATTATAGGATTCAGTTTTATGCACTAATTACCAAATACATTAACTGATGATTATCCCAAACATTTAATACACAGAACGTTCAAGATCTTATTGCAGTCATTTTTTGATCAATAGAACCGATTCTTCTCACCTTTACAACTCATTGCAAAGTGAGTTAACATCCCACACATTCAATGATGTTAAGATAGGTACCTTCTCCTAAGAGTTTAGGTTTTGTATGCCTTTAAAGCAGATTAAATATCTGTTCCCTGGCTGGAAGGATACAGTGATCGGATACTTGCCGGACTCAGCAGCTCAAAGCCAGATTCAGACTTTATAGGAGGGGAGACTTCGGCTACTACTGTGCAGTTGAAGTTCATGGAGGTCAATACCTGGGAGGTGGCTAGATCTGTCTCTTTCCAAGTTTATAGCACCTGACCTTGAACTGAGCAATCTGTTTGAGAATATCTTCTGCCATGCACTTGAACAACCGGCATTCATAATAAACAGCACAGTATGCCTATGAGGGACAGGCTTTATTGGTTTTCTATTTTGAGATTATCTTATAATGAAAAGTGGGAAATAAAATTGATGAATGAATGGTCCATGTCAGTTTTCCATGTGTTCACCCATTTGTCATTTCCAATCTGCTTCTGGTTTAATCAGTGGGTTTTAAAAAATGCAGCAAATGAACCTTTTAAGATGCATTTAAAATAGGTTTCTGCATTTATTTTCTTCCTAAAATATGTATTTAACTGTATTCAAGCATGGGTGAAGTGAAAAAAAAGCCCTGATAATTGTCTAAACTTCAATCTGCACATCGGTCAGGAGGTGTGGATTAGGTCAGATCACATCAGAATTTGTAATGACAGAATTTACCAAGCATCCCTGATGCAAAATGTCGCCCGCAACTGAATATATAAAAGAAGGAGAATGAACGAAGCAGACACCAATCTGAATGCATACATGGCATCTGAATTTTCATTGACAGATGCTAGCTTTGCCATTTCAGATTTCTACCAATCGAAGTCCATTTAGCAGCCCCCCGGAATACGGCAACACCATCAAAATTAACAGTCCTGAGTAAAGCAATCCAATCATTCTGTTCCCATCAGCAGAAAGCTGAATGTATGAGCTCTTCATAATCCCTAGTTATTATTACTCATAATTATCATTCCTGGCTTCTCTCTGAAAGGATCCTAGGTTTTTCCTTTGCTAATCTGCATTCCACCTTCCCTTATTGGTGTCTCCCTGTCGTTCGCATCAATATGGCATTTCCGCTTGCTAAGTCTCTCCCAGGTCAACCTACCTACACACAGTAACGAATACACACAGACAAGGGACACGATGAAATGGCTCATTTATAATGCTGCAGATGGACTGGGCCAATGCCCAAGCTGCCTGTGTGTTCCAGAGTGGGGAGTGCGCTTGCCTTGCCTCTAGGTAGTCGCAGCTCTGCTCAGGCTCCTAACGCCCCACCTGAGAATGCAGCCCACTGGCATGGGCACTTCTTCAGAAGTGTGAGATATGCCAGGCCTCACTTCAGACATACAAATGAGGCTGCCAGTGCGCATGACCGCCATTTTGAATATGCCACCCACCTGTTCTTGCAAACCTGGCCAGCGTGGGCTACGAGGGCTACACGACTTGGCACCAGCAGACACAACAGTCTGCCCAGATCAGGTCACTGAAAGGAAGGTGACGGGATGGGTGTGGAATATATGTGTCCTCTTCCCTGGGACGGACCAGCCCTTGTTTCAGGGATTTTATAGTATGGGGTCTCTGTATTTAGTTAGATCATGGACTGGCAGGTAGCATGTCCCATGTGGCTTCCCAAGAACAAAGAGACACCACAACAATGGCAGCTTTACAAAATCCCTGGTAACAACCCATGGCGTACAAAGAGGGAACCTGCCTTCAGGAATATCCTTTTGTCGTTTACTTGACAATTTCAAACAGTTCTTCCATGATTCATATTTCATGTAAGAGCACAGACCAAACAGAAAAGTCATCGTTACAACCAAAATAGATTTCAAAAGATTAGGGTTCTAAGTTTAGTTCGTGTTTCTTTAAAGACTAAAATGTCTCACCCAGCAACATTTTCAATCCTGTAGCCAAAAGCAGCAGAGAAGTCAGTAAGGACCAGCATCACTGACCTCCTGAAGACAGAGGTCAGCTTTTGCATCTTATAGTTACATGATTTTTAAATGAATTTGCTTACACACGTTTTCCACAAAATGAAATTTCTTTAACAATTAGTTGCTATTTTTTCCATAGTTCCCATCTATGATTTGAAGTAATACATTTACTTCATAGTTTTTT